GCCCACCTCACCACCACCCAGTGGCGGACCTACAGAGGTGCAAGGAGGTGCAGTTGCACCTCCCGTCGCCGGAAAAAACCATGGAGGTGCTAGATTTGCCCCTTTGCTCTCTAGCGTTTTAAAAGATGCTATCAAGGCGCACCTCATGAAGTGCGTTGATCTGAGGCCTCCTGAAATCGCATCAAGGCACCATTCGTTTGGCAAGTTACACGATTGAGGCATGCGCTGTGTTGCAGAGGAGTTGCAGAGTCGTGTTGCTTATGGAGGCTCTGGTTCACGAATGAAGAAGACAACCCCTTTTTTAATTTTCACAAACGACATCGTCCTTTGTTCATGTTTAATAAAACGCGTGTTTCAATGAAATTGTTTTATAAAAATCAAACTCTTCGGTTTTGGTGCAACCTAGATAACAGCAGTTTCAAGATTCATTATTTTGCTTCAATTACTTGGTTGTTATAATAAATATTATAATAATATAATACCAAAAGGCATATGCTCCCAATTTGAAGAAGCCCGTCTGTCCAAAAAAAAAACCAAAGAAGAAGAATCCTTTCAGTAAGCTCTCACATCACAATTTGAATATTAGAGTTTTTGTTTAATTAGGACTTGATTGACACAACTTGTTTGTTGATCTAATATTTTTACTATGATAATATGTTTTTATTATTATTTTTAAATTTATTTTACCGTGCTAATTAACCCTAAAATTATCTAAGGGTCTAGTTCATTTCATAATATGTTTTTTTTATTCAGTCCTTGGCAATACCAAAATCATTATTGCCTCTCTCTTGAAAAATTCTTGGATCCGCCTCTGCCACCACCACCATCTTTCTCACTCATTTGCCGGTAAAAACTTTCCTTTTTCATTAATTACATCATATATGTATGCTGGGTTGGCAACGCAGCCAGCAATTTGCGAATGGAAGAGAACCCAACCCAAATTAAAGCAAGAACTTCCATTGAAATGTCAAGTACTCACCATGCAAATCGTAGCCATGAATTAATATGTTCTTTGCTATTCCAAACTGAATATATATAGCATAATAATCTTTATGCTCTCAAAACGTGGAGTGCAAGAAGATGAAGAGGAGTGTCGATAGAGCTAGCTCAAATTAATACATTGTTGCTACTTGAGAGAGAAACGTACCTACTTGTATCTTTAATCAAAAACCCTAAGCCCACACCACCATACCAAACAAAAATCATCCAACTTTCTGGCCATCCACGAGTCAAGACTAGTCTTCCTTTTTTCACTACATAAATACGGCTTTCTTTTTTCTTCTTTCTCCTATTCCCTTTCTGATACGCTAGCACCTCAAACAAACAAAACTCACGCGCCCAAACACTCAACACTCAACACGCGATTTTGAGGGCCCTGTGCGAAACTTAAATTGGGGCCCCACATAATCTAATACAAAAATACTATAAAAAAAAATAAAAAAATTACCATAACTTAATGTTATAAACAATTTTTTTATAACTAAAAGTTACCATCAATAAATATGTAATGACAATTAGAAATCAAATTCATAAAATTTAAATGTATCCATTTGATAAATTTAAATGTTTGGTACAAAAATAAGCTCCTTGTGCCTGCCCCTATAAGGTCCCTTGCTACCTTAAATAAGCAATCTCTGGTTAATAGGAAAAAAAAAATGGCAATCACAAATTAAAGAGTAGCCTAACTATTTGATTTTGAGTGGTCTTTATGAATTTAGGAATTATGAATTTCTCTTTTTGGTGTTAAAATTCCTGAAATTGAAAGAATAACAAAAATGGTCAAAGGATTGAAAAAAGAACCAAAAGCAAGATTGATGAATGATGATGATTACTTTACCAGAAAATCAGAGTTTAAGAGAAAGAAAAACCATGAAGTGTTTTTGGTTTTGAAGTAAAAAGGTTTTGGGGAATATATATACTCTTCTTGTTGTTAGCTTCGATGTTTCCCTTTTTTTCTTTAAAAGGCTTTCTGTTTTTTTTAATTTATATTTATCTATATATATAAAGTAAAAGGCAGAGAATGGTGAAACATTCAAAATACCAGAAAATGCCCTTGGTTAATGCAAACATAATTTATATTTATCTATATATATAAAGTAAAAGGCAGAGAATGGTGAAACATTCAAAATACCAGAAAATGCCCTTGTTTAATGCAAACATTAAGAATTGAAATTATTAATTAAATGAGGATAATATGGTAAATTCACACTTTTTCATATTTAAAAAAATAAAAATCTGATAATGGATCCTATTTTTATGGAACACAACTACCCATTATCTTTTTTAATTCTAAAATAAATTTAAATTTTTTTAAAAAAAAGCCTCTCGCAGGCACTGAAGCGCGTGCAGAGAGGTTAGTAATACTGAAGCGCGTGCAGAGAGGCTAGTAATAATTATGTAAAGTTTGTGGTTATAAAGCAAAAATAATATAAAAAAAGCCAAATGGACTGACTTCAGCGAGAATTGAACTCTGGCACTTCCAATAAGTGAACATGCGCTGGAGCCAACTCCACCAGACACACTCTTGTGCAAGTATTTTGCACGCTATACTATATATACAATTCTTATAATATTAATATATACAATATAAAGAATTTGTTTTTTTGGGGCCTCAAGAATCGGAGGCCCTGTGCGGTGGCGCCACTTGCACCACCCAAGGGCCGCCCCTGCCCAACACCCAACACCACCACCCACCAATATCGAGCTCTCACCGGCACCGCCTACACTCCACCTCACCACCACAATCGCCGTGGACATCCACCTCATCCATCACCACCATCTTTCTCACTCAATTATTCACCCGTAAAAATGTTCATTTTTAATTAATTACATCATATGTGTATGCTGGGTTGGCAGTTATATATTGACCATTACGCAGCCAGCAATGTGCGAATGGAAGAGACTAAATATATATAACATAATAATCTTTATGCTCTCAAAACGTGGAGTGCAAGAAGAGGAAGAGGAGTGTCGATAGAGGTAGCTCAAATGCATTGTTGCTATTTGCCATTAAGTACGCACGACCACAACCAACTCAAACAAATTAATGTATGACCCTTGTCGAATCAAATTAATGTAAATGGCCCAACTATAGACTAAGGCCCAAATTGGCTTCAAAATCTTGGCTTTCCTTTGGGCCTTTTGTTTACCCCTTTCTACATCAAAGCCCAACAAATAAGATGGTAATAATATTTATTTTTTTTTAAAAAGAAAAAAAGTCAGTTATAAAAAGAAAATTAAACCTACTGAACTCTACCTACCTAACCTTTCAACCCCATCTAAATCATAGGATTTATAATCCTATGATAAAACTTTGTTGAGGGGGTTGGTCTTGTCACATTGTGCAAACCGGTAACGAATGCTCAAATTAATTAGGTTTTTGGCAATTTTAGTGAAGAAGACATGGATCGATTGCATGTGGCTGCACCATGCATATATGATATATATATATATATATATAGGTGGCTGCACCATGCGTATTTATCTAATATTAGCTTAATTCGTTTTTTGGTTTCACACACATATATATATGTGGTTGTTAATTAGGCAGTCTCTAACAAACCATCATTTTAGTGTTCCACTATTCTTTTATTGATTTGCTAGTGCTTATAAACTACTCACACCATGTTGTTTCATCAATAAATAACCTTATCCAATGATCTAAATTACAGTCCATGTCAAGGTCAAACACAGTAAATTAGACCCAGTGATCATGATCCTGATCCTTAGGTGAGAAAGTACAAAGGTGCCAAAGACTAGTTTTGAGTTTTGACAAGATCTTGTGGCATCAAATGCTATCAGAAGGAAGTAAAAAGTCATCAAATCCTTGGGTGACAAAACTTTACCTTTCTCCAATCCTTAATCGAGGTTTCCTGGGAGCTTTTTTTGCACCTAAGTTTGTCTTGAGAGCATCTCCCAGTTTCTCAGTGACAACCCACTCATTTACTCTCCCCGCTTTAAAAAGAAGTATAAATTGAAGAAACAGGCTCTTTTTCATATATAAAATAAGGACCATTACATGGGTTTTATACAATCTGATTACACTATAAAAGTAACAGACAATTATTACAACATGATTACAGGCATTAGTGGTGTAGGAGTTACAGAATGGTGACAGCATAATTGTTACAGACAATTATGCAATTATGTGCATTAACAACTATAACGGAAACTGCATTGAGTGACCTTTACTGTCAAGAACATGGTGGTTGCCTAACACTCCCCCGCAAACTTGGCAGCGGAGGCGAGACAAGTTTGGATACCAGGCGGGTAAAGCGATCCGTAGGAAGACCTTTGGTGAAGACATCAGCGAGTTGATCAACAGAAGGAATGAATGAAACTCTGTGGCTGCCGGAGGCAACGCGTTCCCGAACAAAGTGATAATCAAGAGCAACATGTTTCGTGCGAGCATAGAAAACAGGGTTGGTAGCCATGTAAGTCGCAGAGAGATTGTCACAGTTGAGGAGAACCGGCCGGAGGAGCGGGAAGTGTAATTCGTGAAGGAGACCTTGTATCCAAATGGTGTCAGCACATGCATAGGCGAGTGCATGGTATTCCGCCTTGGCACTAGAGCGTGAAACTGTACGCTGTTTCTTGGCGCTCCATGAGATTAAATTTGCCCCTAAGAACATGCAATAGCCAGTTGTTGAGCGACGGGTATCGGGGCAACCCGCCCAGTCAGCATCCGAGTAGGCAACAAGAATGGAGGAAGCGGTGGATCGACGAAGTGGCAAGCCATGACCAAGAGTGCCCTTGAGGTATCGAAGGATACGTTTTACAGCCTCCATGTGAAGATCAGTGGGGGAGCCCATGAACTGAGACACAGACTGAACCGCATATGCAATGTCAGGGCGAGTGAGAGTCAAGTATTGAAGAGTGCCAACCAGTTGCCGATAAATGGAGGGGTCAGACAGAGGAAGGCCGGTGGTACGGGATAGGGAGCCTTTGGAGGCCATGGGGGTGGAGCACGGCTTGCATTCCAATAGGTTACTGCGTTTGAGTAAATCAAGGGTGTATTTGTTTTGGGTGAGATGAACACACTCTGACAAATAAGTCACCTCCATGCCAAGAAAATAATTGAGTTGCCCAAGATCTGTGAGATCAAATTGGATACCCAAGATACGGATAAAATCCAAAAGAGAGGAAGGACTGCTACCGGTGAGAACAATGTCGTCGACATAAAGAAGTAAAATCATCATGTGAGAATTGCCCCAGAAAATAAACATAGAGGAGTCTGCCCGGCTCTGGATGAATCCATAACGAAGGAGAAAAGAACTGAGGCGCTGAAACCATGCACGAGGAGCTTGTTTGAGGCCATAGAGGGCTTTGTGGAGCTTGCAGACATGCTGAGGACGAGTTGAATCAGTAAAGCCAGGGGGCTGCTGCATATAGACTTCCTCAGAAAGTGTGCCATGAAGAAACACATTTTTGACGTCTAATTGGCGAAGAGGCCAACCAGAGGAGATTGCAATACTGAGGACAGTGCGAATGGTGGTGGGTTTCACAACAGGGCTGTAGGTGTCAAAATAGTCAATTCCGGGTTGGCTGATGATAACCCTTGGCCACCAAACGGGCCTTGTAACGTTCAATAATGCCATCAGAGTGGCGTTTGATTTTGAAAACCCACTTACAACCGACAACATGAGCAGATGGAGGCAATGGAACCAAGGACCAAGTACCCTGCTTAAGGAGGGCATTAAACTCATTATGCATAGCCTGTCGCCAATGAGAAAATCGAGAAGCCTGAGAGTAGCATGTAGGTTCAAGGTCAGAATCAACCAAAGCAGTATACGCAGAAGGAATAGGATAGCGAACCGAGAAATTGGAGCGAAATTTGGGTTTGAAGATCCCAGATTTTGACCGTGTGTGAACAGGGCTAGTGCGAGTGGAGGAATGTTGCGTGGGCTGTACGGGAAGATGCTGGGGGTTGGCAGCCGATGTTGGAGCCAGAGCAGGCGCTGATGGTTGTGGTTGAACGGGAAGAGGTTGGGGGGCGATGGCTAGTGCAGATGCCAGATCAGAAGCGGATTGTGGAGGCTGGGCTGGTGCCATCTCACCCAGAACAGGTGCTGATGTCGGGACTGGTGGTGGTGCCAGAGCAGGCGCTGATTGGGGAGGCGAGGAAATGATGTCGGCTTGAGTAGAAGGAGAGGCACGAGACGAAGGGGTTAAGATGGCAACATGAGCTGGAGTTTTCGTATGGGCCTGATTGGTTAAGGACAGATTGGGTTCCGTATGGGGCATGGGCCCAGTGTCCAGGTGAGAGGCATGATGCCTATTGAGCATATCTGAACTTGTGAGAACAGGAACACAAACCAAATCAATGGCAGGGGTTGTCAAGAGTGCAAGGGCAATGTAGGGAAATGTATGCTCGTGGAAGACAACATGTCGAGAAGTATAGACACGCCCGGTGGGAGGGTGAAAGCAGCGATACCCACGATAATTAGCACTGTATCCAAGAAAAACACAAGCAAGCGAACTTGGTTGTAACTTGTTAGAAACATAAGCACCAAGATAAGGATAACATGCACACCCAGATGTGCGGATAAAAGAATAATCCGGGTCTTTACGAAACAACCGTTGATAAGGTGTTTCCCATTTGAGAAGCGGGGTAGGAAGACGATTAATTAAGTAAACAGCGGTGCAAAAAGCCTCAACCCAAAAGGAGTGAGGAAGATGAGCAGTAAGAAGTAAAGTACGCCCCATGTCAGCAATATGACGATGTTTTCGTTCCGCTAGGCCATTTTGTTAGGGTGTATGTGGACATGAAAAGCGGTGAATGATGCCTTTGGAAGCACAAAATTGTTTGAAAACGCCATTATCAAATTCTTTGCCCCCATCACTTTGAAATTGTTTAACGGTTAACGAAAATTGAGTTTCAACATAGGAGACAAAAGGTAGAAAAATGATTAAATACTTCCGATTTAAGTCGCATAGGAAAAATCCATGAGAAACGAGTAAAATCATCAGTAAAAAGGACATAATAACGGAAACCGGAAATGGAAGCAACAGGAGACATCCAAACATCTGAATGTATTAATTGAAAGGGTTCACAAGACCAATGTTCATGAGATGAAAAAGGGAGACGAACTGATTTTGCTAAGGCACAATGGCTACATGAATTTTGGGATAATTTTAAATGAGAACCTAACAAGGACTGAGAGACTAAGGTGCGAAGCACTTTATTGGACGGATGACCCAACCGGCAATGCCAAAGAGACGACGAGACGGTGGAGGAAAAAGCGGACTTGGAGCAAGACACAAACTTGGATGCAAGAGAGGGCAAGACTGGATAAAGGCCATCCCTACATCGGCCCTGAAAGAGAATAACACCTGTGTGTAAGTGACGAATAATATATCCCCAAGAAACGAAGGTAATGCTAACAGGATAATCGTGAGTGAATTGAGCAATAGAAAGAAGATTTTTGTGAAGGGAGGGAACAAGAAGAACATCGGATAAATGAAAATCAAAGGAGCCAGAGGAAAATTTGACATTACCGGAATGAGTAATGTGAAGGGAGGCACCGTTACCAATGAGAACCTGATCAGAAGTGTTGGAGACATTTGTCAGAGGACGAGCGTCATGGGTCATGTGATTGGTGGCACCAGAGTCCAAGTACCAATTAGGATCAGAGGGTTGAGAGATGTGCATGCCAGCAAAAGGAGGGGAGAAGTCAGCATTTCGGGAAGACATGGGGCACCGAGCAGCAATATGGCCAAATTGTTGGCAATTCCAACATTGAAGAGGACGTGAGGATGGAGGAGGCCCCAAGATGCTAGAGTTGGGCTGGGAGGGACGGTATGAGCGGTGATGTGACTGACCGGAGCCTGGAAGAGAAGCACGAGTGGACCCACTAGAGGAGGATCCGAAGCGTGGAGACTGTGAACCATGGCGGGTGCCACGGGGACCATGATGGTGGTTGGAACGGTGAGCCTGGGGTTGAGCAGAGTAAAACGCTTGCGGCGACGGTGGAGGAGCCAGAAGTGTGGTAAGGGATTGTTGGGCATCGAAGGCGAGAAGACGAGCCCGAAGATCAGCAAAGGTGGGGAGGGGGGAAATTGCATAATAGCGGTGATGAGCATGGCGTAGTCGGGACCTAAGCCACAGATGACATAGCTAACCAAATCATCAGACGAAACGGGGTTACGAATGGCAGCCAACTGATCAGATAAGCTATTGGCAAGAGCAAGGTATTCAGAGACGGTCTTAGTCCCCTTGGTGCTGGAGAGAAGTTGAAACTTGAGCTGGGTGGCATAGCAAGAGATTGTTGAGAAAAGTGTTGACGAAGACAGTCCCAGACTGCCTGGGAAGTGGTGAGACCAACAACTTGAGCAAGAACCGGCTCGGTGAGAGTGGAACGAAGAATACTGATAAGAGATTGATCATTTTGATACCAGGTAAGATATTCTGGGTTAGGAACGGAGCCCACGAAATTGAGACCATCGTCAACAGCTTTGTCTTTGGTGGAGGTGAGAATAGCAGGAGGGCATGGGTGAGAACCATCGATGAAGCGCCAAAAATTTTGCCCAATAAGATAGGGTTGGACTTGACTTTCCCATATAAGGTAATTGGTTTCGGAGAGTTTGGTGGAGACAAGAGTAGAGAAATTGGGGAAGGAGAGAACACCAGCCGAAGAGGAGGAGGGGTTGGAGGACGCCATGAAAAGGGAGAGAAGCAGAAAATTTTTACAGAAAAATGTAGGCTCTAGATACCATGAAGAAACAGGCTCTTTTTCATATATAAAATAAGGACCATTACATGGGTTTTATACAATCTGATTACAGTATAAAAGTAACGGACAATTATTACAACATGATTACAGGCATTAGTGGTGTAGGAGTTACAGAATGGTGACAGCATAATTGTTACAGACAATTATGCAATTATGTGCATTAACAACTATAACGGAAACTGCATTGAGTGACCTTTACTATCAAGAACATGGCGGTTGCCTAACATAAATGTTGCCTTAGTCCGGTGTTCTCAAATAGGATCCAGAAAAGCAATAGGTGGAGTGATCTGTAAATATGACCTTTGAAACTATTAGCAATGAAGCAATGAACAAGTAGAATACAAAGGAAAACATTTAAGGGCTAGAAGCAGAGGCAGAGTAAGAGATCACAAATTGAGTATCATAACTCTGCTCATAAAAATTTGGGTTGTATTCAGTGGATATTGATGGTTTGATCTGAAGAGTTTTAAGTAAGAAAGAAAATGAAGGTTGGCATTCATGGATTAGAGAGGAAGAAATGGAAGAGAGAGGAGAAGTGATGGAGGAGTAACCAAGTAGAAATCAAGAAAAGAGTGGAGAGAGAAGTTGCAGTCCTATTTCTACTTGGAGTCTCACATCGACTGCAAGAATAAACTTCAGGTATTTAATCCTTTATAAATATCTTCAAACTCAATAGATAATGTGTAGACTTGAAGTCCAACCTATATGGGCCTTTGAGGTTCTAGTTGTACTTGTTATGAAACTCCCAAGTTGGGCTCTCTTAATAAGAGTTATTGAACACCAAAATATAAGGCACGGAAAAGTTGCTAAGTTGAGGTGCGGGGTATGCAAGAGGGTCTTGGCCTCTGCAAGAGGCTAAAGAAGACCCTCTTGCAGACATTGCAATTTTTTTTTTTTTTTGGTATGAACCATGAGGTGGTCCTGGATAGGCCCCAACTATGGGTGACACCTTTAAGCCTTAACCACAACCCAGACTAATCCCCACTCACACCGGGTCGGCCCGTAAGGGGTAAAGTGTTGGCCAAAGTGGTGACTCCGTACGAGAGCAGGGATCGAACCCCTGACCTCTCTTAAGGAATGAGAGTGTCGAACCACTCACACTAACCACCTTGGTTGCAGACATTGCATTTTAACTTGGCAACTTTTTCCTATCTTTTGATACTCAACCAAGCCATCTTTGCCTTTCACACTATTCTATCATTTCTCACAAGCCATCTTTGCCTTTCACACTTTTCTGGCAGATGAGAAATGACGAATTAAAATATATGACATTCCCTAATTCTTTCCTAAAATATATATAATATTTCCTAATTCTTGTTGGAAATACAAAATATTTGGAGAGGAAGTCAACTATTGTGATTGAGAAGAATCCGTTTCAAATTCTTCTTCCTTGATAAGTGCGTGTGGTTTAACCCCGGGTTTGCCGCCATATAAGTTGTACTGAGATTGTCACAATGCATGAGAACTGGGAAATGCAGTCGAACGCCGAGTTCATGTAACAGAGAACAGAGCCAAGATGATTCGGCGCAGGCATGAGCAAGAGCACGGTATTCAGATTACCTTGGCAACTTTTCCCTATCAAGAGGGTCTTGGCCTCTGCAAGAGGTTAAAGAAGACCCTCTTGCAAATACCGCATTTTACCTTGGCAACTTTTCCCTATCTTTCGATACTCAATCAAGCCATCTTTGCCTTTCATATTTTTCTATCATTTCTCACAACCCATCTTTGCCTTTCACACTTTTCTGGCAGATGAGAGATGACGAATTAATATATCAGTAACGCGGGTTGGCTTTCCTTTGGGCCTAATTCTTATTCTTTCCTAAAATAATATATGACATTTCCTAATTCTTTCCTAAAATATATATAATATTTCCTAATTCTTGTTGGAAACGGCTTTCCAAATCCTTGCTAAGCTTTTTTGGTTGGTATTACACGTTTGTTTCTAAGTTTGAATAGATTATTAATATTTTTTATTAATCATTCATGTTGTGCATGATTCTTGTAAATTAATATATCAGTAACGCGGGTTGGCTTTCCTTTGGCCTAATTCTTATTCTTTCCTAAAATAATATATGACATTTCCTAATTCTTTCCTAAAATACATATAATATTTCCTAATTCTTGTTGGAAACGGCTTTCCAAATCCTTGCTAAGCTTTTTTGTTGGTATTACACGTTTGTTTCTAAGTTTGAATAGATTATTAATATTTTTTATTAATCATTCATGTTGTGCATGATTCTTGTATGTTGCATCTCAACAATACAAATATTTCCAGATTAAAAAAAGATGATGAGCTTGTGTGTTTTGGGTTCTAATGTTTTTATCTTCACATAAAGTGTTTGAAATCACCAAGGATCAAATGAATCCAGTTTTTTTTTATAGTTGTTCCGGCATGGTTGTATCAAGCTCTTTAATTTATATATTTTTATTTATTCAGTTTAATTTTCATTGGAAACCACCTCCTTCACTGTTATATCTCTCTAATTTCTTTTTTTTCTTTTTTTTCTGCCTTTTGTTTTTAGATTGGGTAGGACTGTGTCACAATCTTTAGGGCTTAATTTTAGAGAGATTAATATCTCCAACTGACTATTTGTGAGCAAGTCTTGTTTGCATGTCATGGCATCGTGGAGCAAAGAATTATAAGAAACAATTGACTAAAATGTCAAGTTGTGATCGTTCTCCTCCAGTGCTTTTAATTCCTACGGGCAAAAATGGTATATGGAGACTATTCAACGTCACGAATGACAAGTTACTTGGTTTGCAATTAAAATTGGGGAACATACGCTTTTGTGGATCTTCAAAAGGATGGTTAATAGCAGTAGAAGAGGATTTCACAGTAACCCTAGTAAATCGCTTATTTATGTACAAAGGTAGGAAGATAAAAGAAAATTCAATCATTCGCCTTCCTCCAATAACCCTTCCAGATTGGATTGGTATATTCTTCATAGTACCAAATGAAGCCTCCTTATGGAAAGGCTTGGCTGTGAGTAAATGCCCAACCAAAAGGAAGCGAGCAGCCTTTAGAGAAGCTAACTCCCCTGCTCCTACATTCTCAAAAGCCTCAGACTCAGATATTGCCAAATTATTGGTGAATTCTTGAACGATATCGTCCACGGCCTCCATAATCCACTCTATGCTTCAACTAAAAGCAGTCACAAAGCGCAAAACCAATCCCAGAAAAGTAACGAGCATGCCGACGCCGTTGCTCATAAGCATCCAGAGGCGCCTTAGAAGCAAGAAACAATCATGCCAAGACTGGACGTGTGCAAGAGAAACCAGCAAAACCCTAGCTGCTGGACTTGAGTCGCCAAAAACCCTAATCGCGTGGGAATGGACTACGTCTGAATTTAAAAGTGTGCGAAACTTAAACTTGAGCCCTAGACAAGGTGAACCCTGAAACACAAGAATTGAAGTATTATGAATTTTGATAAATGTTTTTCGTTAACATACAAAAAAACAAAATTCAAAATACTAGGGGTATTTAAGGAAAATGCTAGAGGCACCAACTTTGGGCACCAACTTGCTCACCAACTCTCTAATAGAGCGTGGGACCCGTTGTATTGGCAGGCTCCACCTCTATTAGAGAGTTGGTGAGCAAGTTGGTGCCCAAAATTGGTGCCTCTAGTACCCTTTTTTTTTGTAGTAGTCCTAGATCAAAATATCTTCCTGTGGACCCCACTTTTTCCCTTGCTTTATTAGAAGTTCTAGTGTATAGAATGACTAATCATGTTCTATTCTAATAGGGTCCACTTCCAAGATTATTGGGAAACTTAAACCTCAATTTATATAGTCCACTTCCATCTAAAATCAACATGATCATTCTCTCGCACCCACACCACACACTTATGGACTCAAAATGGATGACCTCCTTCCATCCCAGAAGAAGCCACATAAACCCAAACACAAATCAATCCTGGGCAGGAAGTGTTCACCAAAACAACCCAAGTGATTTCATACATATACAACTCAAGATGTATGATGCATATGTGATGCAATTTCCATTGATTCTCTTCTTCTTCTTTATACAGCTCCATTCTCTTCCTTTCAAATGTTTTGCTTTAAAATATATGTTCTCTTTCTCTTAGCAGTAGCAGTAGCTGTAGCGGGAGCAGGAGCAGCTGCAGCTACCATGTTTGTTCCTCTCACCAACAGTTGCAGCAGCACAAGTCATTGCTTGCTCAAAAGGCTTCTGCAAAGAAGGCAAAGACAGGTCCTGTCAAGGAGCCCAGGAAGAAAGGAACTATTGCTGGGGCAATTGCTTTGATCATTGGTACTAGTATAGGCTCAGGGATCCTTGCACTCCCAGAAAAAGCATCTCCAGCAGTAATTACCTATCTCTCAGCTGCTTTCACTTCTTAGATGTTTCTAATGACAAAAATTAAACATGCAAACCCCCCTTATATTTTTTTTTGGTTATTTCTTTACATCATGGTAGGGATTGCTTCCAAGTTCAATATCCATCGTGGTATGTTGGGGGTTTCTCCTAATTGAGGCACTTTTGCTTGTTGAAATCAATGTAAGCATGAGGAGGAAGCAGGGGAAGGGAGACAGAGAGAATGAATTGGAGGTCATTTCCATTAGGACTATGGCACAAGAGACTCTAGGAGAATGGGGTGGAACTTTAGTCGCTGTGATTTATATTTTCTTGGGCTATACTTCGGTCATTGCTTATAGTTCCAAGTCTGGAGAGATCCTCTTCCATTTGATCAATCTCCCAGCTCCAGTTTCAGGCTTCTTTTTTACTTCACTTTTTACTCTGCTCATTGCCATAGGCGGGACTCGAGCTACTGATCAAGTTAACCAACTGCTCACTGCTTCCATGATAGGTACCATTTCCTAAATTATTTTCGAGATTTTGTTGTAACTCTGCCCAACACATTTGACATTCATAAATCACATGATTGTGTTACTTTTTTATACTTTTTCAACCTTGGAAATTGATGTGAAAAGTCAGGATTGACATTGGAAAACATTTCTTGCATAGTTTTAGAGGGATAATGCGGCAGGTTTTCTCAGCAGGGCGATATCAAACTCTCAAACTGCACAAAAATTTGATTCACAGGTTTACTACTAGCAATAGAGGTGCTGGCAGTTATGTTTGGAGGATGGTCAGGACTAGAGGGAACTGGAGACTGGGGCAAAGTCCCGGCTACAATACCTGTGATAATCTTTTCTTTGGTGTATCATGACCTTGCACCTGGTAAAGGAGTGCATTATTCGATGAATTAAACTTGCCCTTCTTGAGCAGTATAGACAATTTGGAACCTCCAATGTCATATTATATTTGACTCTCTTTGCAGTTCTTTGTGCTTATTTGGGCGGTGATCTCACACGCTTAAGGATTTCGGTATTTCTTGGTGGTCTTGTTCCATTGCTGGCATTGCTTGTTTGGGATGCAATTGCACTTGGCCTCTCTGCCCATGCTGATCAAGTTGTTGACCCTGTTGAATTGCTTATGAGGTAACCCAATATCTGCAGACTGAGTCAATTGAACATAGTTCTATTCATGGAAACATGATCATGTTTTGACACAACTTGGTTTAGGGTGAGATGGAGTGGGGTTTCATATATGGTAGAAGCTTTCTCACTCTTTGCAGTTGGAACATCACTAATTGGGACCCTTCTAGGCTTCTCTGAATTTTTCAAGGAACAGCTTAATAACCTATCATGGAATTCTCCCCTCACACAAACACTCCAGGTAGCTTTGATGTTAATGCATCTTTCCTTTCCTAGCACACACAAAAGTCAACTTCACAATCTTCTCCTGGCAATTAGCTTTCCTGCTGTAAATCAGATTGTATTCATGTCTATATTATTTCCTACCTTAAGTAGACTTCCTGTATTTGTATAAATAGGGACTGTGTAATTTGTTTAATACAAGGAAATATATTCTCTACATTTCAAGTCTCCACCTAATTCACAGGTTGAAGCATGTCCCTAGGAATAGCAGCACTAACTTATATGCTACTTAACCCTGGCAGAAACCAAACATCTCCTTTGAGCTGAGAAAATGGTGGGGAAGGAATAAAGTTAGCTTCACAGCAGTGGCAATGGTTGTTGGTCCATCTCTTATCGTGTCAACTAGCGTTCCAGATGCATTCTCCACTGCCACAGACATTGCTGTAAGTATAAAGGAGGAGGGATTAACAGTTGAACCACTTGCAGAGAAAATTAAGCAGGCAATAGCTTATAATAATGCAAACCTTAAATGCTGGGTTTTTCTTTTCTGTTTGACTGACTTTTATGTGGACTAGGGAGGCTACTGTATGACAATGCTATATGGAGTTCTGCCACCAGCAATGGCTTGGGCAATGCACAATAAAGAATGTGAAAATGGTGAGCAAAAGACTTTATCAAGAGCAAGGCCTGTACTTCTTGGGGTAGGACTATTCGCTTGCGCAATAGTAGCTGAGCAAATCCTGCAGGATATCCTCACATTTCATTCCTAGCAGGGACATAAACTTAAACAACAACATGATTCTTTAGATTCATGAGGCCTTATGGATCTATTATTCAGCTAGCTAGAACCAATACCAAGTTGTAGCTAACTAAAATTTAAGGATATCGTGTAATCAATAGCTTTTTTACAATTCATGTAGCTATCAACTTTTGAACAGAGAAACTGGAAATTGCAAGTAAAGTAGGGACAATTAAGTTTGGTTCTTGTCGTTTAGATTGTTATTCATTTTGGTTTCTATAGATTCATTTCTGTTAATGATATCATGATTGTAATTAAATCCAATAAGGATTTCTGTCAGATTAATTTGCCCAACAAGTGTTGTTACATGTTAATGAGAACTGTCTTTTATAACATTCGCAGTTCAAGAACACCTTAATAAACACAAAACGAATTTCAAATCTTATTGGACATGCTAGTTTTACAATATTAAAGAACAATCAAATCAAAAACCCAATACTGAAGACATAAAACAAGACAAAACTTGAATTAACAAATGTAGATTCATTCATGGTCTCTTCATTTCCTCTCCTATTTCAGTTTCTAATTAATCATAAAGATGTGTCAAAATCAAAGAAAGGTTGTCCTGGCTGCAGCTCCAAAGCGCCCTCTTCTCATGTTATCCTTACGTTTCTTGTACACGAATCCGCCAAACCCAATCAGCCCTGCCCCTATCAGCACTCCAAACACTATCCCTGCCTTCTGCCCACCACTTAGTCCTCCTGAAGACCCTTTCTTATTGGGAGGTGGTGTTGGTGATGGCGGTGGTGGTGAAGGTGGTGATGGTGGTGGTGGCGGTGGTGTTGAAGGTGATGGTGGTGGTGGCGATGGTGGTGGTGGTGGTGGCGATGTTGGTGATGGTGATGGTGGTGAAGGTGATGGTGGTGGTTCATTGGGTGCAGGTGCGCCCGCTGGTGTGAGACTAACGTGGTTATAAGAGGTCACGAAGTTAACAAAGAGGACCAAAACTAGAACAGAACAGGAACATAGGTGAAGCAGTGTGGCCATGAGAGCTTTTGATGATGCATAAACAATCAAGAACTTGAAATGCATGTTTATATATGCACAATGTATAGCCGTTTATCCTTCACTTAAACAGAAAAAGACAAGAACTAGACGGCAAACAAACCTTTCGAAAGCTTCAAGATAAAATCAATGACGAGAGCTAATTGCCAGCTTAGTTTTGGTTTGCTCTCTGGGCTTCTCAAAACATAGTATAGTTCGCCAGCCTATTGAGGAATGCTTTTTCCTTTTTTGTTTTCTTCTTTTTTCCTTGTTGCTTTCCCACTTGTCTTCTCCTGCAGTCTTGTGTTTCTGTTTGTTTTGGTTGACTTCATTTATTTTGCCTCAGCTAAAACAACATTGATAACAGACTAGATCCATTTCTGTAAGCACATTTTATCTTTTTCTTCAATACAAAATAAAAAAATGATAGGCAGAAGATGGTTTCATGCACATGTCAATTTTTGGATGTATTGACAGCTCCAGTTAGTTCTTTCTTGATCAACTGTAAGATGTCTGAGACCTGCAAGAAAATCGAGTAACTATAAACTACGATAAACAATTCACATTTCAGAGTAAAACAGAAGGTTGCGTACGACAGAAAGGATTAAGCATCGCTAAACACAGCACCTTGACACGAGAAATGTGAAAAGAAAACATTGCTTACCTCAAAATACTGCTGCAGAACCGGCGAATGATGACACAATATGGGGTAAATTTTCTCAAGAAGGCCTACAATAACATCCACTTGATCACCCAGAAGATCCACCTACAAATGACACACATCAAAATTCCAACCAACATATAAACTCAACATGATTAGTTCACAAACAAATCAAAGCCAAAAAGTTATCGTTGCAGCGCATAACCTCAGTCTCAGCCTTCCACAGATCTTGACATCTCCTAGTAAAAGCGTTCCTATAAAGTGATTCTTTTTTTCTCAAGGTGGAAACATGTTCAACAAGTATATTTATACCATCCCTCATCTTGTCCAATCTGTAAAGGAGTAGGGGTGCAGTCTGCTTAGTTTACAGAAGTACAATCTGAGCTTTGGTGAGAAATTATCTGTATATAGACCAATACCTCAAGAAGTTTATTTCTAACTTTTCTTTTGTTGAGTGCTCAAGGTCCACCAACGCTTCTTGAAATCTGAGGAAAGGTGTAAACACAGAATCAGATGGGTTCAATTGAACCTCTTTGTTTGCTTTTGGTTGGCAATAAGACGGCTCACTGCTATGTGCAGAACCTACTGCAGGACTCACTTGATCATAAACCTTTTGTAAACCGCCAACTACGATGTCTAAACTAGATCCTAACTCACTTCCTAGAGCCTTACTTGCTAGCTTGCTGCTCACCGAACTGAAAGTGTGCAATTTAGTTAACAACTCTTTAGAACTTTCACTTGACATCAGATCTTCCTCCATACCTATCTTTTCATTCAAATTCTCCTCTGCACCGACCTGTCTATCATTCTGTAACTTGTTAGCAAAGAGCATGCCTTTTGGGAATTTGTCCTGAGTCCCAGAATCAGCTTCTCTAAACAGGTCAAATGCATCTCTCAATACCTCAACCATGACAAATTGAAAAATTTCTTCCCTACTGAGACTCTCCATCTTCCATTCCTTGATCGTTTCTCTGATGAAAACCCTACAGATATCCTCCCTCACAAAACTTTCTGTGGTCTGAAGAAACTCTCTGGTAACAAAATCTTGATATCGAGCCAATGGATCACCGGCAGTTTTTACAAAATCTTTGATTGTCTCATTACAAATAAGCCAGTCTACCTCTTCTCTAAGAAGGCTCTCAGTTTCACAACCATATATACATTCATTCCACTCCTTGAGCATTTCATGCAAAAGGGTCCAGCATACATCCTCTCTTATTGTTCCTTCCAAGTAACAAAACTTGTCTGAGAATGCTGAGTCTTCCAAAGAATTATTTTCAACCCTCAAATCCTGACACTCTACTAATGCAAAGTTACCATTTGAGCTATAATCCTTGATTGCCTCGCGGAGGACGGTGCAATATATCTCTTCTCTGGTTCGAGATTCAATGTTGTTACCTTCAATATTCTCCTTCCATTGATTGACCACTTCTGTAAGGAGAACATTACATATGTCCTTCCAAATCAGGTTCTCTAACTCAAAATCATGTAATTCAATGTGATTCTCTTTTATTAAACTTTCAAGAAGAGTAACATAGGTCCTTTCCATTATCACAGCTTTCAAATTTTCTTCTTCTTGGTCTTGTTTCAGCCTGCTCCCTTCATTTTGTAGCTCTTCATTTACTGCATAAGGTACTTTATCCATCTTCTCCCATACATCTTCCAAAGTATCAAGTTCCAAATTGTCAATATGATTTGCATCAGATTTCAGGAACCTCTCCTCTGAAAGAGTTTCTTCCTCATCAAACTCATAATTACCAAAAGTTTCATTAAGCTTAACATCCCAATCTCTTAATTTGTCTAGTTTTAAAATAATTTCCTGGACCCTTCTTTTCAAGCTGTTTTCTTGCATCCCAATCTCTTCTCTCCTGCTAGACAAATTCCCTTTCTGTAGAAGAATTTCTCTCTTCAGCAAATTCAGCTCTTCTACCTCTGCACTTTTCTTCCGGATGATGGATTCATGATTCTTTATCATCTTGGAAACAAAGTGGCCTCCATCCTCTCCCCTTTCCTCTTCATGAACTTCTTGCATAACCTCTTCAGCCTTTAAAGACAGCTGATTTTCAGGCTTTCCATGACTAAAATCTTCCGGTGAATGCTTTTCATTTGTTCTGTTTGAAACTTTGCCTCCAAGGCTTGTTTGCAATGGATCAGTACTCTTCACTTGCACCACCTCATTCTCACCGACGACAGAATCTAGTTCACAGCGCAAGTTCGCAACCTCATCCATCAAATCATACCAGTACTCCTTCAAGCCAAGACAAACGTGCTCCTTTTCCTTCCACACTTGTGCTTCAACAGTTTCTTGGAAATCATTCATGAACCCTTGAAGCAAAGCAGACATTGTGTCTTTCTCAACATCCCATCTCCATTGCTGCTCAATTGGCCCAACCTCAGACCTGAAAATGGCATTCTGCATTTTCCCAAAAGCAAGATCCAAAGTTTCCTTCAAAATCCCCATGTCTGAACCCATCTGCTCTATCCTTTTGTTGTTGATCCCTTCAACAACTTCCGAATTTCCTTCCTTATCTTTGAACCTGTAATTAGGCTGAAGCTTCTGTCTGATATTCAAAACCTGCTGATCCACTGAATTCTTCAACTCGCAAAAAAGTTCATTATCTCTATCATCATCATCCTCCTTCTCATCATCCCCACCCATCCTATTACTAAAAATGTATTCTTCAACAGGCTCACTCTTCGTTCTTCTTTCAAGCTTGAGATTCGCGGCGCTGGAACGTAGCGAAGCCAATTCTCTATCCTTGGCCATGATTGCCATCTCAGACTCCTTGAGGCGCCCTTGAAGGCGGTTTCGAATCTCGGTCAAGTCTGTCAGCACCTGCTCGTGGCTGCTCTCAAGAATGCAGCTGTCGGTCTCTAGCCGAACAAACTTCAAACACCCTTCCAGCTGCATGACAGCCAACTCATAGAATCTGGATATCTCATTCAAGCGCTGAAGAACACCTTCTTTGCTCTGCATCTTTTCATGCGCATTGTTCATTGCTTGGTGCACGATCCACATCATGGTCGAATCCATAGTTTCTCAGTTTGGTATGTTTCAATCAACAAGCAACAACAAATAAAAAGCAAAACAAGAATCTCATTTTCTATGGTGGAAACAAAGAATTACTAGCAGAAACCAATCTCTATTTTCTCATAATTGCCCAAGAAATGTGGGTTATTTGTTGTATGATATGATGACCTATTCTAAGGTATCATTTTCATTCTCTTCAATTTTTATTCTCATATTCATAATCTTTTAAGTTTGGAAAATTGCATTTTTTATTTTTATTTATTTTTTGGTATGAATCATAAGGGTGGCTGGTTGAACAATTTAAGAATATGTCACACATTTAAATTAATCATTTTTATTTAAACTTCCAAGTGACATGGCATGCTTCCATTGGCTGCTTATGCTGCTTCTTCCTCTCTGTTCCAACTAAGTTTAACTTAACACAGTGATCACATCACTAAAAACTTACTAACCCCTATAGACTAGACTAGGCAGCACCACCATTCGCCGCGGCGGCGGCGGCGGTGGAGGCCCGTTCAGCTCGAGTACGAAGCCACGCCACCATTTCGCCGAACACCAAGTCGACGTCCTCCTGGGTTTCACCAACCAGCTGGTGCCACATGCCCTCGCGGATCCTCAGCGTCTTGTCCTTGCTCGACGCGCGCCCGTAGAGCTCTTCGGCGCACGCGGGGTCGCAGACGAGGTCGTCGCCGCCGTGGACGATCAGCAGCGGTACCTCCACCTCCTCGAACCTCGCCTGAAGCTCCTTGCACACCCTCAGCAGCTCAAGCGCCGTCGCCGCCCGCGGCCTCGCCACCGTCCTCCTCGGGCTCGCCAGCGCCAGCCTCCGCTTCCACTCCACCTTGAACGACAGGTCCGGCAGCGACCCCCGCGTCGGAACCACGCGCCACGTCGGGATCACCGCCGCGACGAGGAAGAGCAGGTGCTCGAGCGGCCACGGCGGCTTGATCTTGGCGCTGATCCCGCACATGGCGCCGTTGAGGATAAGGCCGTTCCACGCGCCACTCCCTTGTCGGAGCGTGATGAGTAGGGCGATCGCGCCGCCGAGGGACTCGGCGTAGAGGAAGGCGGGGAGGTTGGGGGGCGCGTGGCGGGCGCGGAAGGAGTCGAAGAAGGAGATGCAGTCGTCGACGACGGGGTTGATGTCGGGAATGTGGGCGACGAGGCCATCGGAGAAGCCATGGCCCTGGTGGTCGATGGCGCAGACGGCGAAGCCGGACTTGGCGAAGTGGACGGCGGTGAGCTGGACGAACCAGCTGGTCTCGCCGGTGAAGCCGTGGACGATGGCTAGGGTTCCGAGGACAGGAGTGGGAGGGAGTGGGGTCCACCACTGGGTGAAGAGCTTGAGGCCTCTGGGATTCGTGATGTACTCGGAGGCGTGAGAGACTTTGTGGCGGGAATAGAAGGCGTCAGGGGTCAAAGAGCCGAAGGGGCTTTGGTCGTTCGCCTCCGCAATTGGGTGCGCCATTTTGTAAGAATGGTTTGGTAAAATGCGCCGGGTGGTGAGAGTATCCAAAGACCCTGGAAAAGAGCGAGAGCGTTGGGGGAAGTCGTTGGAGTTACTTATTGCTGCTTTGGTTTGGGTGGTTTTGGTAGTTGCTAGTTGGGATGGATATTAATGAGGGTGGCATGCAAATTGCAAGTGGACCAAACAACCAACCCAATACCCCACCTCTTTCATCTCTGCGTCTGTCTATAAATCAAGACCAGCCCCTCTACCATTACCATGAACGAAAACGAGCTCGAAAAACTAGTTGCCCTTTTTCTTTTTTCTTTTTTATTATAATCAATAGCCTCTAAAATAGTTGCCCTTTTCACAAAGCTTGATATGTGTTGCTTTTATCATTACAATGAATGAGCTTTAAAAACTTTGTACTTACCGCCCATTTATACTCTTGTCTTCTGAGGGAGAGAGAGAGAGAGAGAGAGAGGTGGTAGGTAGAGTCTAGAGTGGACTGCACCCAATCTCACAGTAATGAGAATTGAACCCATGACCCCTAGGGTTATGTTTGAGCTCAATCAAGCAATCAAATGAGTGAGGAGCAGGGTAATTAGGCATCCACCCATCAATATACAAGTCCAGACATACTACACCATACTTGAAACAAGAACTAAAATTTTCCTTGAATCATCTCTGTCTGAACAATGAAGATTGACATTCTATTAGTGTGGACTGTACATATCAGACTAAACACACACAAAAAAGAAACACTACATAATATTGTCCTTGAAATTCAATTCCTAAATTCTTGTCATCAGAAGACAGGATCAGCATCTTCCCCTGCACAAGCTGAAACAAGAAAACCCCTCATATCAGAATCATGACCAATTTTTTCTCATCAAGTCATTACTTAATAATGAGAAATAAGAAAATACGACTTAACAGTGCCTGTTGTAAGATGAAGAGACATGTATAGGCAAACGGAAACACATTAGTGTATGATCTCAAAGACAACTGCTGGGAATAAAAGTGGGCATAAGAAGACATCACCAACCCGAATGTAATGGGTGTATGATTATATTAGCTAAAGAGATCATCCTCTAGTATATTATCAGCATGAAACTGATTAACACTGGCTCGCTGTCACAACTCTGCCAATTCTACGATATCTTCACAGAAAACCCTCCACCTACAAAGCAGTCTTTCCATGACATGCAGACTTAGAGAAGCATGCTTATGATGCTCCAATCATTACAGCCTTTCAGAACTACTTTTGCCTGTTTCATTTACAACATCCTATCATATATCATTCATTTTGTTTTCCAACAGCACCAAAGATATATCACTACACACTAGACAGACCATATCAAAGTAGAGGCATCTTGGGTATTCAATCTTTGCATATATGCAGACATGCTTTAGAGCATAGATTAATGGGAACGGCAACAAGTTTCATGAGAATATATGGATAGCCTTCCACTTTCTTGGGCACAAGCACCCTAAGATTCATATCTAAACAGAAATCCAATCTATTCTAGTAGGCTAATACCTAAGATGGTTCTTGGTCCAGGACCATGATTCAGGTAGTGAAGCAGTGGGCAGAGTTCTATGTTCAAATATTTCCAATTTATTTAATTCAAAAGTTCCTGAATGGATTCTCCCCATTCTCAGCTCAACAAGACAATTATAGATACTTCCCATGTTCAAGCATAATCAGCTGCACATGCCATCCTGAATGAATCTTTGGATGTGAATATTTAACTGGTCTGTTCATTAACGAAATCTCATTGTTCACCTTATTAACCATCTCTCCGTACAAGCAAACAAACTACTCTTTTTCTCTTTTTCCTTACCAGACACAAGAATCCTTGTCAAACTGCAACCCCCACCTCTTACAGGCTCACAAAAGCAGGCAGAACTGTCCAACTGATAAATTCCTAGAACTAGTAGATTGGCCTTTGATCTTACTGGGTATTTCACCAATCACCTAATGATTAAACTACATGAAAAGGTATGAGAGAATTCCAGCAGCATCTCCTATTCAAACTAGAAATCAAACCATAAGAGCACTGCTTGAATCTGCAATACATTTTAGTTATAACGCAAGCAAGGTAGTTCCATTCCCCAAATCAAATCCCCTATGTGATAGGGAAAAATGATTCAAATACCCATTTTTCTCACACAGCACATAACGAAGAGAATGTCACATTAAAGTCCCTAACCAAAGATTATTACAAGTTACAAATTTGATTGCTAAAGAATTTAACCCAATTTTTCAGAGACGTGTTAAAACACCGGTCTCCAAAATTTAGCAAAAACTCTACAAACCAATGGCGCATATACTGAAAACCCATATCATATAACTTCATTTCAAACAAAAATTTTGAAACAAAAGCATGTGAAAGTACAAGGGTTTGAGATGAAATGAATTACCTCCACAGCAGAAACAACAGAAGCAACAGGAGAGAAGCATGAGGATCTCTCTGCAAAGTCCAAGGACCACTCCATGCGCTTTTGGATTGGGCACTTCGGCCATTTTGCCATTGACTTCACCTTCTTGGCTATTCGACTGTTGGACTCCGCCTTCTTGGCTATCTAACAGCTTCTGATTGACTGAAGCTGATGATTCTTTTTCCCTTTTCATTCTCTGGAGGTTCCATTCGAGTTTTCTCAGATAAGCAAGCTTGAAGGAGTCTCTGATCGTCGCTGAGGGCCATAGATGCATCTCTTTCTATCTCTTTTTTCGCGCGGTGATGGTCAAGAGACGAGAGAATGGAGAAGACTATTTTAACAAGAAGAAGAGGGACGTAAGTTCCTCTTCGAACGGCAGCTTTGTGCGTGAGAAGACATGGGCTCTGTTTTTTCAATTCTTTGATTAAGATTGTTTCTATTTGATTTAACTCAATTACTTTGAAGTTGTGGGTTTTATTGGGTATGGCATGTGGATGTTTTGGGTTGGGCTAGTTGGAGTTGAAGTTGTGGTTGGGTTCCTGAGAATATAATTCTATAATGAGGGGGTTGTGGGAGGGGTTCAATGATTCACCCAATTTAATTGTTCACACTTTAGGTGTTGAGTCACTCTCGTCATTGTCAAATGAAAATTTTTCTTTAACAAATGAATTATGGAGTGAATGAGGCTTGAGGATGGTGTGTAGTGATGTGCAATGACTTTAGTTTGTTAGATAAATGCATATGTTCGTCACAAGTAAAGTTTGAGGGCGAAGGCAAATGACCCACTAGTGTAGTGGTTTGGAGTAATTGCTCCCTCACACAAGGTTCTGGGTTCGAGTCCTAACATCTGTGTAGTGTGTGTGAGTTTAGTATATTATCGCCCCTTTCAATACAAAATTTCCTCAAAAAAAAAAAAAAAATAGAGGGTGATGAATGTTGACACATGCTAGAGGGTGGGTGTGTAGTAGTTATGCTCTAATTGCTTTTCTTCTAGGCAACTCCATCCTCTTCTATGCTTAAAGCAGATAGTCGTTCTAAACTCACAATTGTCAAACTTGGAATCAACATATCTTCAAAGTTAAATTAAACAACACTACTACAGTAAAACTTAGGCTGAAATGTATTACAGACAACGGAGACCGATTAGCTTAATTTGTGAAAATATAAGGATATATGGTGCATATATAATACATTTACATGCTAAGCAATTGATATTTGCCTAAATCACAAGTTCAAAACACCATGCCATCGCAGCTCCAAAACCAAAAGACTAGCCTTCTTCGAACTTGAACTTGAACTTGAACATACCCAGGTGGAACTTCGAGCATATATATGAACATTAATCTCGAACAAGAATGCAGGTAGCTGAAGAAGATTACATGATGGTTGCAAAACCATAAGCCAAGGGGAAGAGACCAACGGGAGGAGGGTAGAGATCAACGGGAGGATTTTCAGACCTGAAACTGTGGAATGCGGGGGTCCAAGGGCTCAAGAGAAACCCAAAATGAGTGAGAATGAAGGAGACAAGGGTGGTGATGGGTGCCATATATGATAGAGAGTGATATATTGTTCACCCTTAATTTGTTGGAAAAAATTGAAGTGTAGATATCTTAGTTGCTGAAATGGGTTTTTTATTAGGACTGATGAAGAGGAAGTGGTAGCTGTTGCTTGACTTTGAAGTATAGATAATATGCATGCCGTGCTATTAGAAGCAATCATAGAAGCGTGCACACCACTGCACCATTGCTTATAAAATATGGTCATTGGAATAGGTATGTCTATTAATGTGACCATTTATTTATATACGGTGGGATGTATTTGCGGACAACCAATTTTGTGTCTAGATGGTCACTCGATTAGGTCAAAAATGAACTATCCATAAGCGTAGCTAATCGTAATATAGAAAACGTATATACATATATGCACATAGCAGATGTTTCTGGTACGTTTCAGCCATAGATTCTTACCACAAAGAATGAGAATTTTGGCATTTTGGCTAATCTTTTATCTAAAGGGTGGTGTGAATAACGGCATACATGTCTTATCTTCGATGTCATTGTTTGTCCTTTTGAGGAAGAGCTCTTGGATTGTAGCCAAGTCTCTCGCAAGAGATCCAATGGCAACTCGAACTCGAAGTGGGTGAGATCAGGTTAGGTTAGGATAGGATAGGATATTTTCAGCTAGCTATAGCCTATAGCTCGCTTGACCCAGAAAACTGTCTTCTTCTAGCTACTTAGGCCATGTTCAAACTTGTTGGGTTCCAGCCTTTTCCAGCTGCATACGAGATGGAAGATATGGGCCATATGACCCACTTTGGTTTTGCACTTCGGAGGCAAAAATAGCTGATAGGTGCGTCCCTCCTTAGACTTGACTGGTTCGAACAACTCCCGATTATGTTTACTTACCATGATCGAACCAACTCCGATTATGTTTATTTACCATGATTGGGGGAAATCATGAATCAGGAAAATTAGAGAGGGAAATCAAGGAATGGGAGTAGTTGATCTCATTCCTAATTTTGAGATTATTTGATTATAGCTAGATTTTAACATAAAATTCGCATAAATTTTGATTCATTATGAGTTAGTAAATGCATAAATTTTTATTCATTATATGTTTGAAAACGCATAAAAGTCAAGAATTTCAATACCCGTGATAAGTAAACATCAGTGTGCTCAATGCCCTCATCACTCATATTACTTATATCCAAGGTCTAAAATATCGATGGTTTTGGAAATATCAGTGGTCTAAAACCACGGAAATTTCAATGGAAATATCGAGAAACTATTGATATCGGTAAAATTTGAATAAAAACCACGGAAATTGTAAGAAAAACTTGAAAAATTTTATTGAAACTTTGGAGGATATTTATTTAGTCAATTATCTATTAGTTTATCACAAAAAAAATTAGAAGGAAATTCATTGCATGGTGAGTTTAACTGATTTAAGTTGATTATATAGCGAGTTGACAAAAACTACGAGTGTAGAAAATATGTGGTAATTAATGAAAGATGATTAAACACACCATAATCATTTATTTATAATGATTTACTACAATATTTTACATTTTATACATTGCATGGTAAGATACATGATTGACTTAGTACCACATAGAGTTTCTATGAGGTTCAATTTTTTTATTGCCTTCATTATCTCTATGTGTAGAGTAAGTGTATTGTGAAGAGTAGTCATCAAATGATAAATCTCCAAAATAGTTTTGCATGTAGTCGTTAACATGTCTCCCATATGGATCCGAGATTGGTTGGCGTTGTCCATAAGCAAAATCATTTGAAGATTGGGTCTCATATTCTTTCCATGAGCCGCTTGATTCCATCCCAAAAGGCATGAGATATGGAGGGTAGGAAAAAGGGTTAGTTTTGAGTATAACCATAGTTACTACTTCCCACTCCAACAGAGTCTGAAGCTATAGATAACGAGTAATCTTCTTTGCGTGAGTGTTGCTTTTTTTTTTAAATTAGAAGGAAATTCATTGCATGGTGAGTTTAACTGATTTAAGTTGATTATATAGCGAGTTGACAAAAACTACGAGTGTAGAAAATATGTGGTAATTAATGAAAGATGATTAAACACACCATAATCATTTATTTATAATGATTTACTACAATATTTTACATTTTATACATTGCATGGTAAGATACATAAGTGACTTAGTACCACATAGAGTTTCTATGAGGTTCAATTTTTTTATTGCCTTCATTATCTCTATGTGTAGAGTAAGTGTATTGTGAAGAGTAGTCATCAAATGATAAATCTCCAAAATAGTTTTGCATGTAGTCGTTAACATGCCTCCCATATGGATCCGAGATTGGTTGGCGTTGTCCATAAGCAAAATCATTTGAAGATTGGGTCTCATATTCTTTCCATGAGCCGCTTGATTCCATCCCAAAAGGCATGAGATATGGAGGGTAGGAAAAAGGGTTAGTTTTGAGTATAACCATAGTTACTACTTCCCACTCCAACAGAGTCTGAAGCTATAGATAACGAGTAATCTTCTTTGCGTGAGTGTTGCTTTTTTTTTTCTTCCCTAATATAGCGATATTTTCGATATTTATCGATATTATCGCGATATTTTGGTCAAATGTTGTTGAAGTGTGTGAGAAATTATTGACATCGATATTTTCCGATATTATCGACAATTATACGATATGTGTATGGATATGTTCCAAAATATCCTAGACCCGAAAAAACGATAATATCCTCAATATTTCGTCGATATTATCGATATTTTAGACCTTGCTTATATCTAAAAATAGGAAGAAAAAAAAATTACGGTAACTAACTGATCAATCACTGAATTACAAGCCCTCACATCTATCAATTGAACTTAGACAAAGCATATTGTTTCCCAAAAAATATAGCTTAAATAAGTATTCTTATTTGAGCAATAAAATATTAAAGGATCCCCACATTCATGTTATCGAGGTTCCATAAGCTACTAAATTCTCATATACTCTCATTGTTGTCACATACATAGAAAAAATATATTGTCTTGTCTAATAAGTTATCATTATATAAAAACTTAGAATAGTTAGGCACAATTTGCGGAGAGATTGAGACAGATATGGGATTTTGATTGTGTTGTTGGGATAAGGGTTGAAAGTAGTAGAGTGTAGAAGGAAAGAGAAGCCTGCGAGGTCTAGTATTTTGGGCCAACAGACAAATGGAGCAGAGAGAGAGTCCATGTGGGAAGTATTAGGCTCCCAATGATTTGCAAGCTTATGCTTCGCACACATCTCAAACGTAATTGTTTATCTGATTATATATTGAGTTGTTATTATAATCTGTATATATATGATTTTAATTTTTTTAATACAAGCGATAATCTAAACTACAATGAGCTTCCTCACACAGACTATGAAGGTGCTATGGAATTTGAACTTGAGATCATCAGTTTGCAAGTCAAGGTCCTGTTGGTGGTGTTATTATTATATTTACCTTCTTTTTTTGGGTGCAAATTATTTTTTTGTGCAAGCTCATTGAGACATTATACAGCAAGCAGAAGTGACCAAATAGTATGAACTTTTCTTGAAAGCATGATGGGTACAAAGAAGAAAGGAGGAGAGATGGAAATGAAAATGACATTGAAGTAAATTCAAAGGCAAGTGTTTGGAGAAGCAGTAAGGGGTACAAAAAGCTCCTCCTTTTCAACCTGACTGTATCTACAACTTAATGACCCTCTCAGCCCCTCTTTCTAAAGGAAATTGAGAGAGAGGAGAAAAAGAAACCTTCATACACAAGCATAAGCTAAAAGCACATATAATAAATACTAGCCGTTATAAAAGCACAAATAATAAATACTAGCCATTGTAACTTATTCTTTTTCAAATCCCATGATGCCTTCTTCCATTGTTTCCCACCCTAACCATGACAAAGGAAGCAACTTCAATTCATGGAGTCTCTGAAAATATTCAAACATGGGGGTTGCTCCTGAATGATCCAAGGGCTTTGACAGCTCCTGCTCTCAAGATGAATTGGTGGTAGAAGGCTGCAATGGCTGCACCAATGAAGGGTCCAACCCAAAAAATCCACTGCAAACAAAAAGATGGAGGAAAAGTTTACACATAAGATACAATATCACAAAACTAAAATTAGAAAAATAATAATAATAAATAAAAGTGATTAAATATTATATACATACTTGGTCATCCCAAGCCTTGTCTTTGTTGTAGATGACAGCAGCTCCAAGACTCCTAGCAGGGTTGATGCCAGTGCCAGTGATTGGGATTGTGGCCAAGTGAACAATGAACACAGCAAACCCAATTGGCAGTGGAGCCAAAACCTTTAAAAATTCACAGCAGAGTACAATTTTATCAGCTTCATAAACTATAATATTATTTTTCTCATTTCATATTCATAAAAACAAATTCTGAGTGGATGGATGTCTATTCTTACAGTCAAATCTACAATACCAAAATCAGCAACAACACACTTGGAACAGAAAATGGACTAAAACAGTACCAAAGGACCTTCCCCGTGAGCTAAATAAAAACAAAACTCGACAACCTTTCATTCATAAATGTGACTCAGCATATCATGTGGAAACTATTCTGAACTTTGTCTTTGTGATACAGGAAACAAATTAAGACACTGATCTAACTTTAACTATTAAGATAATACCTAAACGGTCCTCAAATGGCACTCAAAAGACGTTTTACTTTACAGGAATAGTAGGAAGAACCCACAGTTTGACGTTAAGGTAAGACCATCTTGAGAGGGCAGAGCACGTCAAGATGAATGGAAAGGCCAAAAGGTGGGCAGAAGAAACTGAAAAAGTAGAATCAACTTGTTGAAAGCAAACAAAATTAGGTGACCTCCCCTTGGCATCTATTGTGTTGCCCTAAAATTCTAGCCACAAAAACCACTTGGGCAGCGCACGATATGAACCTACTCATTAGGGACATGGTTTTTTTTTTTTGGTCAAGACATTAGGGACATGTTGGTGTTTAGAAATGTTACTTTTCTTTCACGGATTTCCCTTTAAAGAAATTTTGGTTTTTATAATCATTTCAAGGGCACTATCATTTATATATGTATTAAGGACCGAAAACACAAGTATACAACGTTATTTTGATTTACACAGTATATAAAATTAAGAAAATCACATGTGTTGATTAGTCCAGTTTATGAAGAGAGTGTGTTCGCCTTCAGTTTGGTCCTACTTCTGGTACGTTTTGTTACTAAAAACGTAAGAGGAAACTCAGTACCAAATGCTTGGCAATCCTTGGTAGAGCTTATTTATGATTTTATACCGAATTAGAATAATTTAGACTATCATCTATATATGAATCAAATCATATAATTACTATTGTACCGTGTAATAGTGTGTATTTTTTTAATGAGGGTATATTTTATCACAAGATGTTAAAGCAAATACAGGCTCGACATTCAATGAAGCTTAAAGTCTTTGTACCAAGTCAATTCAATAATACAGTCCAACATAAAAATACAAATTCAATAATGCACTCAACTCAAGAACACAAAGGTACTCTGTTTTCCTATGCAATAATACGTCCCATAAATAATGCATTTTCAGAAGGAATTTTAAATCTCAAAAACTAAAACATGTGACCAAGTTTTCTCAATTCTCTTACACAAATAACTATGTTCTCCAAATTAAAATGAGTTAAAAAATAAATTTATATCAAAACAAAAATGAAAATCCCAGAAACATGTTTATAGATCTACATAGCAGAAAAAGTGTTCTACAAAACTAAACCATATAACACTACTACACTAATTTCTCTCTCTTCTTTTCTCAGCCACCCTGTTTTTTTTTATTTTCTTTTGTCTAATTACCATTTTGTAGCAAAAACCAGAGAAGCTATCAGAGAAAAGAAATAGCAAATGGTGATGAAAGAAAGGTATGTACCGGAACATGGGAGTCTCTAGCACTCCTCTTGGGGTCAGTAGCAGAGAACACAGTGTAAACCAGCACAAAGGTCCCAATAATCTCAGCACCCAACCCAACTCCTTTGCTGTAGCCTTTACTGAGCTCATTGGCTCCACCGCCATACTTGGTGTAGTAGCTCTCCTGGAAAGCCTTGACCAAAGCAACACCGGCTATAGCCCCCAAAGACTGAGCCACCATGTACAAAACAGCTCTGACCAGCGACACCTTGCGAGCCAAGAACAGCCCAAATGTCACTGCAGGATTAATGTGACCTCCTGTTCACACCAAACCCACATCAAAGACATCAGCTTTTTAATTAATTTGTGTATATACAAGCGAAGCCACACAAAAGCCGCATCAAAGATATCAGCTTTTTAGTTAATTTCTACATAAACAAACAAAATCACACAAAACGCACAGCAAAGAGTTCAGCTTTTTAGCTTATTTCTGTACTTAGAAGCAAAATGATGAACTTAGAAACGAAAACTGACCTGAAATCCCAGCAGTGCAGTAAACAAGGACAAAGATCATGCCCCCAAAGGCCCAAGCAATACCCAGAATCCCAACCCCACCACAAGCGTCACCATTGGCAGTTGTATCTGACTGGCTCTTGTACCCAATCACAGTAAGCACAGTGACATAGAGGAAAAGAAGAGTGGCTATGAACTCAGCTATGAGAGCTCTGTAAAAGGACCATTTGGTGAGCTCCACTGCATCGAAGAGTGGTGCAGGAGGTGGGTCATGGTAGTCCTTGGCTGAGAAAGAGCCTCTCTCTGCAACTTCAACGTCCTTGGCCATTAAGCTTAATTAGCTAAAGCTTCAGAGAGTTTGGGAGAAACAGAGAAGCAGGGGAGCTGAGGCTAAAGAAAAACAGAGTCTTTGCTTTTGAAATTTCTAGAGAGAGAGAGAGAGAGAGGGGAGGGTGTTGGTGTGTGAGAGAGTGAGGAGAAGGGGGTATATATGGGTGAGGGATTAGGATTAATTACTGCAATTTGAAATTTCTGGACAGAACCCACCTACTATTTTAGTGTGTTCTTTGGCTTTCACCGACTATGTGGCCTGACTTTTTACTGGGGCCACCTGACCTCCCACTTACTTCACCTCTCTCTTTCTTGTGCTTCCCACTCACTTACCACAATCTAAGATTTTTCTTCTTAAAGATATAAGAAATGTTGCTTTCGAAATCTCTCCTCCCCCCAAAACATCATTTTTCAAGATGATGAAATTTTAAGCTTCCGATACTATTTAGCAATGTAAGATACTTACGATGTTAAACGGTGAAACATAGACTATTTATCAAGTTAATTGTCGTCTTAAATTGTGACTTGGTGTGAGGTTTCTTATGTTACATGTTTTTTGGGGTCTAAATACTATATTGATAAATAAATAAAAGGCACCTCATATGCCATTATAGCTAGCGAAAAGGACAAAAAAAGTTATGAACCTTGTTTATCACTACTATTTATTTTAGGAAAATATTTTCAAGTAGGAATTCTTACATTTTTATAAATAACAGTTTTATTTTTTCTTTTGTGTTTTTGATGAATTATGTTCAGTAATTTGCAGGAAATATGAATATTACCTTTCAAAATCCTTTATTTTATGTGTAATGCTTTTATTCGAATCAGAAATGGAAAAAGAAAGACATGCATGATTCAGAATTCAATGATGATAAAGAGAATTTTTTTGGCAAGAGGGCGTGCAGCGCGTTCAAAATGACTCAGTGAGTAGTAGTGACTCGCAACGGGCCAAAACCCAACAGTAGTCCTTGTATTTGACAGCCGACGCTGCAGACAGCACTGTTGTTGTCCTTCGGACTCTGCTGCTGCTGGGCGCAGACGGCCCACCCCCACGCACGACCAAAAACGCACGTAAATAAATATTTGTCGATGGTCAAAATAAGCTTCGAAATGGAGTGACACGTGGGGGGCTGTGATCCACACGTCCAGAAGCTGATCACGTGGTGATGGACCGCTGGATGGTCGTCTTGCTTCACCGCGAAATCGGCTAAGTTAGGCCGACAAATGGATGGTTGGAGATGGCTTGGCGGTTCTTCAACGTTAATAAAACACACGGCATAGCAGCGGGAGAGTGGGTCCCATTCTTTTGCTTTAGGCTTACTGCTGGATATTGGGTTGGGTTGGGCTAAGAGGCACACAAACACACGGCATACCACGTCACTTTCCAGTTCATCATATAATAATTCTCTCCCCCACCGAAAAAAAATACACCTCATAATTAATTATTCCTCATTCAATCCTAAAGATTTTGTTTATTTATCCATGTGGCAACATGATATATGAAAGGTTTTTCTCCATTTAAATTATAATACGTCTTATATTACCAATATCTTAAACTCAATTTCTAGACTGTTTACGTGTTATAATTTGTATGGATGGACATATACTAGTAAATTTTACTTTCAAAAACTTCTCGTAACGTTTGAAAGACTTTGATTTTACCATTTCATGCACTTTTTGTTTTTGTTTCTTTCACCATATTATACACGATGACAAAATCAAAGAAAATAAATACATGAAATGTTTTATGTAGATTCATCTTTTGTACACACATAAAATAAAAATCTTATGCTTTTTCTCTAATATAGGAAAGGAAATTAACTCAAAATTCTCTTGTAATATGGGTGGGAGGAAGATGTGTGTTTCGAGACATAGAACAAGACATTACCAATTGCCAACTATGATGGTAGATTGAAATATCGTATTCAATGAGAAAACGACATTTCATGACCGTTGGGGATAAATTTTGGAAAATTTTATTTACGCCATATGAAAGAAACTATAAATGATAAAAAATTAAAGTAAAAATTTATTAAAAGAGCACCTCCTTTCCTCGCACATTATTTTAACTTTGTTTCCACAATTTATTTATTAAATTATTCGGCTCCACAAAGTGGGTTGGTAATGGGACTATTATTCCATGTTACCAGAAATAGAAAACGCTAATTTAATAAAACGGCGTTAACAAAAAATTAAAAAAAAGGGTTGATGACGTTTTTTCTCAGTGTTTAAAGAAATGAGCACAGCGATGAGAGCCGCAGACCTTTTTGGCCTCTCACAGTGTCACACTAATTAACCATTATCCTTTCCTCCATGATTATTTATTGATTATGATTAGCAGACAATGCTTACGTTATGTGGATTCGAATACGAATCAGAGACAGACACCCATAGAGGAACAAATCAGATCAAGCCATATGTCATTGGGCGGTCGGCCAGCGAAGCAATTTCAGATAGCCTCAACCTCCAGCACACATGCCATTACATTACACCTAAGCAAACGTTAATAACAGGTGTATGAGCGGTTGTTTTGAACGTACGAGAATACTTCCTTCTTTATTCACGTTTCATTGTCTCCTTCTTCTTATCTCTTTCAAAAGAACGGGATAATTCAATGCAAGTGTATAAGTTTTTCTCTTTATGTACAATTTTAAAGCCAACGTGCTCTTACTTTAAAGGAAGAGAGTAATCGAAGGATTAGGAAAAAGACTGTAAAGGAAAAATGACAAGATTGAAAAGAATGAAGCTGGTGATGAATGTGAAGTGAAGGAGAAGCACCCCCCCACCACCAACGACATGATTGAAGCCCAAAAGAGAAAAACGAAGAGACATGACTTAAAGCCAATAATTTTATTTCTTTTCATTTCTTAGAGAGATATTGTAGTAGGCTCAATGATTTAAATTGATTCTCTTTTGTTTGGTTTGGTCAAAAAATCATGTTCATTCAAGCTGTCAATAACATCAATTGCAGAACAAATATATATATTTCTATAAATAAAAAAAACAAATATAAAAATATTTTTATTAAAATTAAGTTGAGAGTCAAAGATTAAGGGATGCATAAATAATTTTTATTTTTAAAATTTGTTGATAATTTTCCTGATAAAATCAAAAGAGCACAAAAACCACGTTTATGATGTGATGATGGACTGACCGACCATCCCCGTCGACCGCACCAGTTTTCTTCAAGCTAGTAGCCAAACGAATCAAAGCATGCCACGGATGAGGGCCCACCGGTTTTCCCGTTATTCCTGTACAAGACGGCACAGTCCAAATTATTTTTCCTTTGTTATTTAATTTTTTTCGTTTAAAGACAGTGAGAGGAAGAAGGTCGTCTGACCACGTGGCCAGACATATCCCATCAGGCACAGTCCAAATTATTTTTCCTTTGCTATTTAATTTTTTTCGTTTAAAGACAGTGAGAGGAAGAAGGTCGTCTGACCACGTGGCCAGACATATCCCATCAGCCGTCCGATTTTAGTTTTATTTCGTCATTGCTCGGGAATTGGACGGTTAGTTTTCCTAATAAAATAATTCAAGTTGATTTATGGGCCGTTGGATTTTTAATGAGATTTCACACCCCTTCAATTGGAGAAATACGGAATAACGTGAGATAACTTTTTAACGTGTCAGTTTGTGATTGGTTGAAAATAGAAGAATAGTGTTATTCTCTTTTCATACAAGTTTTTATGCTTCAATTGATCTTGTTTTGTCTGGACTTTTACATATTAATTATCAGTCCTGATCTCTTGGATTAAAGGGGTTCAAGAGATTTGTGGTCACTCACCGTTGGATATAAATTTAATGGTTCGCTTACTCTTACACTCCTTTTAAGAAATTTTTTTGAACCATTAGATTAATATCCAACGGTGGGTGACCATAATCTCTTGGACTCATGTGGTCCAAGAGATCAGGACTGTATTAATTATTGCAATTAGGTCTAAAATCAATCAATGATTTTACAGATAATGACTAACGGCTCTTGCAAAGCCATAAGAAAAATACTAGGTACGTCTTTTTAGCTATTTTGACAAAAGTCTATAGCACTAGGGAAAGAAACCTCAATAAATTTGAAGCCAACATTTGAAAAAGAAGAAGGAGAAAAGAAAAAGGTGGGATGCATCGAAAATTCAGATAAATTTGCAACACAAATTAAGTCCCTTGTCAAGAAAGCAAAGCAAAGCCAAATAGGCATCTTCAAAATCATCAAAGGAACCGTACACATAATAATTCATGCCTATACAGAGTCCAAAAAAGCTGCACTCTTCATGCATGGTGGGGCATCAACTAATAGGAAGGACTGTGATTTGCCCCACTAATATTAATAAGCGAACATAAATTTTTGGACCTCTTGTAGATTATTCTAGGTCATCTTTCTTTGTGGTGGCCAAAGAATTAGAAAGAGCTTTCTTGACAGTCTAATCCTTGGACTAACACTAGCGAATAATGTCAAACTTCATTAATTAATCCTATGTAGCACGGGTTTTGCAATTCATGTACTCATTTTATTCTGCTTTGAATCATCCGGAAAATGGATCGATAGACTTCTATTGGAGAGTCCCATGAGTCATTTTGTCTCTCTCATTACGTGAACCATAGTGAGTGAGGCTAGCACGTTATTGCTATGGGGCTGCCTTATGAGCATGTTCAAGTATGTTGGGTCCATAATGCAGATGATGACATCTGCAGTCAATTCTACATAACAAGAGGATCAAACCCAGACAAAAAATGAATGGGAAAGGAAATCTCAGATAAATCTTGTTCGATGAAAAAGCCAAGAACTTGGTCGAAATTGAGGTAAAAGCAAATCCAAAAAGGAAATATAGTGTACAGGAAGAACATGAGCCACATGGCCAACACCGCAACTCCAAAGCAGCTGAATAAACCATTCAAAAAGTAGTCCAAGGAGAATGTATGCCACAGATAAATAAATAAATTAAATTTATAAATAAAAAATAAAAAAATAAAAAAATAAAAAAAAATAAAAAAATAAAAAAACCAGTCGCTTGTATTTATCACCACATGGATCACATCATAAACAAGCACATAAAAAGCTCATTTCAAAGTTCAAACGTATACAGAAATGCATATCTACAGAACGATATAAATTTTCACAATTGTCGGCACCTTCATTATGGAGGTAAACAAAAAGGCTATTATGGTCGGTTTTCTATCTAATGGCTAATGTAATTCAGAAAGCAGTAGACTGGTTTAAGTGAACACCATTCACAGATGTAATGTTTCTAGAAGACAAAGCAGAAGACCAATCTGTCATAGTGAAAGAGCACAAATCATTT